AGTACCCTGGTTTATTACAACCATTACCTGTACCAGATCAAGCTTGACAAGTGGTCACTCTGGACTTCATTGAAGGGTTACCTAAATCTGGCAGATACAATGCTATCCTGGTGGTAGTGGACAAGTTCTCTAAGTATGCCAATTTCATTCCATTAGCACATCCTTATACTACCATGAAAATAGCTTCAGTCTACATGGATCAGGTCTATAAACTTCATGGGCTTCCTCAAGTGTTGATCTCTGACAGAGATAGGATCTTCACCAGCAATTTATGGCAAGAACTCTTCAAATTGTCTAGTACTGATCTTAGACTCAGCTCTGCTTACCATCCTCAAACAGATGGTCAAACTGAACGAGTTAATCAGTGCTTAGAGGCCTACTAAGTGGAAAGATTGGCTCTCCCTTGCTGAATTCTGGTATAACACCACATATCACTCTTCTTTGGGCAAAACTCCTTTTGAAATACTCTATGGTCATGAACCACGTCATTCGGGGATTGATCGTGTGGAAACATGTGTTGTGGATGATCTAGCTGAATGGCAGTTTAATAGAAAGACCATGACTCAATTGATGCAACAGCAGCTCATGAGAGCTCAACAACGTCAAAAGCATCAAGCTGACAAGAAACGTACTGAACGATCTTTTGAGATTGGTGACTTTGTATACCTCAAGCTTCAGCCATACATACAACAATATGTCATGCCTCGAGCCAATTACAAGTTGTCCTTCAGATACTTTGGACCATTCCCCATTATTGACAAGATTGGAGCTGTAGCATACAAACTTCAACTCCCTCCATCTTCAGCCATTCATCCTGTTTTTCACGTCTCCCAGCTGAAGCGTGCAGTAGGCGCTACTGATCAGGTCAGTCCCGCTCTACCCCCTACGTCCACTCAGCTTCAAATACCAATGGCAGTGCTTGATCGACGCACTGTCATGAAGAATGGTGATCCTGTCCATCAAGTACTAATACATTGGTCTTCTTGGCCGGCTTCTCTGTCTACCTGGGAGGATGAACCGGCGCTCAAGCATCAGTTTCCCGGCCGCTCCGGCTTGGTGACAAGCCGGTGCAAATGGAGGGGGAGATGTCACCAACCAGGAGGTGGCGTCAAGGGGCTTCAGCATCGTCGATGAAGCTGACGAAGACAAAGCTGTTCCTGCTGAACCTGGAGGAACACCTGAAGCTGATCAAGTCCCCGTCGAAGCCAGGTCATCGGCTTTTGGCGGGAAGTTGAGGCCTGCTCTAGTGAGAAAGCCCAACACGCGACTCAGCGGCCCAGAGTGGCGGCCCAAATGAACCTGTCGACCGTGCCAACCGGGGATAAAGCAGAGACCGAAACGTGAGGTGGAGACAAGCGAGAAGAAGAACTTTGATTTGGCCGGCTGCGTCCGGAGTTGGGCGACGATCCGCGGATCTCGCATTGTATCGGAGTTCTAGCCACTAACTTGTTGAGATTTGGAGTGAATCCCCAGTAGTAATCGAGAGATAATCGTCGTCATAATTCTGGTGGGTGACATGCAGCTGTTAGGCATTGGCTGTGACTCTGCTTTGCCGCCTCGGCGCAGTTGTGCTTGACGTCCGATGGGCTGTTTTATTAAGAAAACTACGGAGCTGGGTCCGTCCGTCTCTTCTCATCTTCCCCTGAACATGCAGTGCTGATGGCGCGGCGGCACTCTTTTAAGTTTGCCACACTGCATACTTGTAACGGAGCCACATGAACTGAGAAGTCCTTCCCATCGTAAAGGCCGGCCTTTTGCATTGTTTCCAGACCTAAAGATTACAGTTCCACCAGAGATTGATTTAGGCCGATTCTTGTTTCCAACAGGCAACAACCCATGGAAGATCTCAGCGAAAAGGCTCACTTTTTTGTTATCGGAAGCATCGTCGTCCCGTGCCACGAACTGACGACCGTCGGCCGCGCAGGCACGTGCGCTCGCAGGATACCGGCCGGGAAGCCGGCGACTGTGAGCCGGCCGCGCGCGTCGCCATCCGCCGCCGCCTCTTTTCCTCTCGCTGATAGGCTGCAGGATCGCGCGCGGAACATGCAGTCTGGTCAGAGAATCAGACGTAGCGATGCTGCCTTTTCCGTGGTCAATCAACAGGGGCCGGGTGATGGGCAAACGGGTTCCGGCCGGTCGAGGCGGGTGCGGCCCCAGAAGCACACCACTACGGCGACTGAGCTAGCGCCACGTACAAGCCCACGCTAGCTCTTCAGCGAAAAAGCAACGCCGCCGTGTACGATGATCGTGACCCGATCCATTGGCCAGCATGGCAGCATCTAACCTGCCACACTCTGAGACAGACAGGGCAAGCCGCGGAGCCGGCGGCTCATAGAACCGGGGCCCAACCAAGCCTTGCGGTCTTGCCCGGGGGTGCCGCTTGCCAGAACCCGTTGCGGCGCGCGAGAGCTGGGACGGGGTGCACTACACGGAGTCCGTCCGACCGAAAGTAGGTCAAACAGACCTGTTTGCCGGACGACGAAGTAAGCTGTTTGCAGAAGTCACTTTGCGGATTCCAAACCCTCGGCATGGAGATCCTTCACGAAACAGAGGATAGCTCTACGCCGGCCCCTCCACATGTTTGAGGCACAGCGAGAGAAGCAGCTCAAAGCCTAACATGAAAAACGCGATGGAGCCAAGGTAACTTAATTACTAGGAAGCGTAAACTGGTTCTAAGCCATGATTTAAGTGCTCGAGTGTGCATGGCAAAGGAGCTAACTGACAATAGAGACACACACCCCAAGTCCGCGTGGATCATACCGCACGGTAACGATATTTACATAGTCGCACCAGTAAGGCACGCGTAGTAGCTTGTTACCATCCACTATTGCCTGCATTACTGCTCTTGTTGCTGTTCCATGCGCTATCAGCCGCTTTGTCTCAGGAGCTGCCAGTAATTTTTCAAATATTCAGCCGAAATAAATAAAAAAGAAAAAGACAAAATCGTCTTTGAAAACCACCTATAACCGGGTTAAGGAGGTAAAGTGAACGGTTTTAAAAGTTGAGGGAGGTGGTTTACCCGGTTTTCGAGTTTAGGGAGGAAAACTAAACTTCGAGGACAGCTTAGGGAGGTAGAATGGACTTTTTCCTTTTCGTGGCCCGCGTGGAGCTTACTCTTGGGCCGCGGGCATCTGCTCTCATTGGGCTTGAAAACCCAGGTCCGAAATAGCAATTCCTATCTATAGGACGTCCTACTCGTAGTCATGAGTAGGACACTGTTTGAGATCTATGCAACCCTAAATCGGAGGATGCTTGTTCATCTCTGTTCAATCCTCTCTCTCTGCTCGGGCCTCCTCGAGTGGCACCGCCGCCGCTCCTCTGGCTAGCCACCGCCTCCTCCTCCCGCCGGCTCGCCCTCGCCAGAGGCAGAGCTCGCCCGCGGCGGCGGCTCGCCGGAGGTAGAGGAGGGGCTCGCGGCACACGGGCATGCTCCGTTTTTTTCTTTTTTTTTTGTTTTTTGTTTTAGATTTTTTATTTTTAAAAAAGAATCTAGATATTTTGCACAAAATAAAATGTTCCATAATTTTTTTGAACAATATTCCTCATAATATCTCAGAAAAATATTCTAGAAAAATATTTCAAAAAAATGTTCCGGAACAATATCCGGGAACATTTGATTTGTACTGAAAAAACGTTCCTGAACATTTGATTTTTGTTCCAAAAAAAGAGTTTCTTTAAAATGTTCTAGAAAAATCTTCCAGAACATTTGATTTTGTCCCAAAAAAATGTTCCAGAAAAATCTTCCGGAACATTTGACTTTATCTCAGAAAAATGTTCCAGAACATTGGTACAGAATATTTATTTTAAAACAAATATTATTTTGCTTTCTCGTTACGGGCCTATTTAGGAGAACCTAATGGGCCTAAATGGGCTGTCCTACTCATAGCAATGAGTATGACATCATATGGATAGGAGGTCCCCTCCACGCCTGGTCCTCGCCCTGATTCCTAAGCATAATATAATCATTAGGTAGCAATCTATTTTCAAAATCATAAAAAGAATTGCTTAGGAGTGAGCTCACCTCTAAATTTAATTGTCGCGCGCGAGCTCGAGTGATTGGACCTTGTATGTCTAGCGGAGGATCCTTGTGTGTATCCGAAGGAGTGATGTCCTCATTAAGGTAGGGTTGCGTTTAGTCTTTTCTGGCAAGTTTTCGATGGCTCTCATCTTCGACTTCGGCGAGTTCCCCGTGGGGCTCACCATCCGCTTCGGATCCCTGGAGTTCTCCACCGACTCGCAGGTAAAGCTGTCCTTCACCGATGTTGGCATTTACCACTCTTAGATAAGATCCGCAAATGCACAGGGTACACCGCTGTAGCACTTCACTCGGGAGTATTCCAGAGTATCGATTTTCACGATGAAGCTCAATGTTATAGAATAGTAGAAGATAAGATAGGAGTACTAGATAAATGACCCACTATACTTAAGGAGGGGGATAACTAGATCGGTTTAGGATAAGATGACACTGGGTCACGGGATAAAATACTACCCTATAGTAGAGCGGAGAGAGCTGCTGGGAGGACAGCGAGTTGAGCTAAGGTTCCTATACTCTACTTGTACAGAGAGAAAAGATACGCCAGAGAGAAGCACAGGAAAGCCAAGAGAAAGAAGGGCGGGCTGTCAGGACGACCTTCTTGCCGCAACGGGCAGAGTCAGTCTGCCAACCACTGAGCTCAACCCAACTACACCAAGTCTAACGTGGATTTCAAGGGATAGACAGGGCTGTTACCGCCTGCTGATATTCCTACACAGCATGGAGAATGCAGCCCTGGGAGTGCTGGGTTCACCTCCGTGCGGCACGTGTCCCACAGAAAGCAGGCCTGCAATCGGGCCCACGACATGCTGTGCACGTCGCCGCACCGCCTCCAGCAAATCGGCCCAAGGCGACGGTGCGCACGTCGCCCTCGCACCGCCTCCCCCCAAATCGCCGCAGTAGCTTCCAACGGATAAGGTCTTCGGTTTTCTCTCCACGGAGGCGGAGGGGGCTGAGGGGAAAAAAGCTAGAGAAGGCGCGCGAGCCCAGAGGCGGTGGCCGATGGCGGAGAAGGCGCGGCGCTGACCGCGGAGAAGGTGAGGCTCGGGGGCCGCGGCGGCGGAGAAGGCGGGGCCCGGCCGCGGCAGCGGCGAAGTCGTCGGTTGCTGGCCAAGAGCTCGGCGGCGCGTCGTTGCTCAGCGTGTCTACGGCTTCCTCCGGCCCGTCGTCGTGCTCGGCGCTCCTGCGCGCCGTCGCCGCGGTCGCCGCCCTCGCCCCTTCGCTGTGCCTCGCTGCTGCCCTCGCTGCGGATGCCGCCATCGTCGCTATATTTCGGCAGCTGCCGTCGGCGCTGGGCCTCCGCGGCCGAGGTACGCACGGCCCCTCTGCCGCCACCATCCGTGCTGCCCCTCCGCTGCCAAAGTCCGCGCTGCCCGTCGCTGGGCCCCGCCACCACCGCTCGCCGCCTCTGCGCCCGTGCGCCATCGCCGCCGGCCGACGACTCCATGCCTCGCCGTTTTTGCCCGATGCCCCGCGCCCTGACCGCCGCCTCCGCCCCTACGCCCTCCGGTGGATCCAGGGCGCTCGGCTGCGGGTGCAGAACCGGCGTCGTGCGGGAGCGCAGGCCGCAGCCCGCAGGGCACAGGGCGCGGAGGTGGCGGCGTTCGGGCGCCGGAGCAGGGCTGGCATCTTTGGCTGCTGTGGCTGCGGGCGAAGGACAACAAGGAGAAGACATGCGGCACCACGGCACAGAGCAGCGGTGGCCCATGGTTGCCGGGCATGGGTGATGGAGGAGAGGGGCCGGAAGGGTACTTTTTCGTCTGACTTGAACATTGCTCGGAGTGCTCCGTGCACGCAAAATTTACCCCCTTAATCAGCCCACGCATGAAAGATAGGTATTGTTTCATGTGCCTCATCATTTTGATGCCCTTGCATATGAGCGAGCGCGGCAGGACGCGCCATTCACCCTAGTTGTCTAATGTAGCTTGAAAAGGCACTGCAAGATATGCGCTGCGAAACAGCTGAAATAAAGGTTTCATATGAAGCCAAAATGTCTGAAGCCCTAACAGTGATGGAGGCTGCAAAGAAAAAAAAATGAAGAAGCTGAAGAGAGAGTTCTTGCAGCAAAATCATACGAAGCTGCGGAACATACGCCGGCGCGTGGCGAACCGGGAGGGCTACGCGCGGTCGGGACTCAGCGGGAGGCGTCGGCCGAGCAGCAGCAGCGACCGAAGCCCGCACAAGAGGCGGGAAGCTCTGGACCGAATGAAGTGGCAGATCAGTAGATGTGTGCTTGTCATTGTGTAGCGAGGTTTGTTTGTGTCTGAACAATAATCTTGCATTAGGAATTGCACGAATTTGCATGCTGTTCTACTTGTACTCCCCTGCTGATATTTTCTTTTTTCTTGGCGCCTCCATTAGTAATATACTCACTCCATTCTAAAATGTATGCCACCATTGATTTTTTTATATGAACTTTGACCATTCGTTTTATTCAAAACAATCTTGGTGTTCAATATTTTTTTTTCCTAGCTAAGTTGTTTCCATATAGAAGATAGTGTACATGTAGTCTTTAGAGAGCAAATTCATCCACTATTTACACTGATCACGCAAAAAAATTTAGGTTGAAAGAACATATGTTTCATGCAAATAAACTTACAGTGAAAAACTGAAAATTAAACATCATACTGTAATGCCGCATATCGAGTAACCAGAATGTTTCAAAGTGTGATGGTTTCTTATGTTAAGCACTGACTGGATTTTATTTGCCACATAATCAGAGGGAGTGCGCAAGTGAATGTCGGGCTTCCCATAGAGAGTTGAGATACAATCACAATCATATATATGGAGATAATGTCTGCTTGGTGCACATAAGGGTGCTATTGCCAGTTAACTTCAGGAGTAAATCTTCTCTTTGTACATTTAACCCAAATTGTTCTATGAAGATTCTGCTTTGTTTTTTTAGTTTGATACATGTAACCAGTCCAAAAAATTGTATACTTTTACATAGTCTATCCAATACCCTTGGTGTATTCTCTTAGATGTCAATGCACATATATTACTTTAGATATCATTGATACATTCCTAATGATGACCATATCTTGAAGCAGTTATTTTGCAAGTGTTTCAGCCTGTCAAATAATACTATCTGTGCAAACTTTCAGTCATCCCGTTGCAACAACTAAATACTCTATATCTAATCGTGCGAGCTGAGTGCAGCTCCCTCCAAGCTCGGACGCGCTCCATGCGCACCACAGGGCGACACGTGCCCTCTCGGATGTGGCCGCGCTTGCCTGGGGAAGAGTCCCCCGTCCACCTGCGTCCGTTCCGTGCAGTGGGCCCAGCCAACTGCGTTGGTTCGCTTGTGCGTCCTGCTTTCTCTCCGCCGTATGTCGCCGGCGCTGCCGTCGTCGTTCAGCGCCGTCCTTCTACCCGGCCGTCGGAGCGCCGTTCCATTCAGTCCCGTGTCGGTGCGGGTGGGCCCGGCCACGCCGGAGCTGCCCGAGGCGGCCGCGCGGAAGCTGCCCCGCCTTCGATTCGTCGTCCGCGCCGTCGTTCTTCGTGAGTCCGCTCTGTGCTGGTCCTCCTATCATCCCGTGTTACATTGGGCTCTCCTCTGCTAACTTCCTCTACCTCTTCTCTCCTTTTCTGTTCTTCCCTCTGGGTATCGATTGGGCGTCGCATTTGCTGCTGTTGGAGCAACCCGCTCATCCCGCCGTTCTTGATGAGGTGCCTCTGTCCTGCTCGTGCTAAGACGCCGATTAATTTTGCACTTCGCCTGCTGGCTTGTACAGCTTCCTCACCGATTTTGTATCGCCCCCTTTGCTGTTGCAAAACTGTGCATAGGTTATTCATGTGTGTTCTCTGTGCTACCATTAGCTGCGGACCCGCTCTATCTTGTCTGCTGCCTGTGCTCAGGTATCTTCTGCCATTGTCTGAAAAAGCTTCTCTTTACGGTTCACCATATATTCAGTTGATCTTTAACTATAGAGAGGAAATATAGAATTACAATTCATTCATTCGACATACACTTTCAATCTTCTTCGGTTCACTTTTGATATACAAACGAAAAATTGTACTCCCTCCGTTCCAAAATGTAAGTCAATTGGCTTTTCTAATTCATACATTCATCTTGCTATGCATCATAGATATATGTTATGTCTAGATACATAGCCAATAGAATGTATCTAGAAAAGGCAAAACGATTTACATTTTGGAACGGACCACGTATCATGTAACATCAGGTGTACTGCAACAACAGATTTCACTGCTTGAAAGAAAATTCACACTTCGATTGACTATGTAATAGTCAATTTAAGCACAGTCACTCCTGTTTATTACAACGGTGTAGTTATGTTTGTTTTTTGTGCTCCTAAAGCTATACTATGCATATAAAGGGTATACATTACTTGGGACTATCAGCTTACACTATTTATAAACTGCAATTCACCTTCTTCAGATTAATCAAATTAAACCAAGTTAACAATCCTAAGCTTTAACAGTCCCACTGATTCAGCCCACTAAATCAGATTTTACTTTCTATCCTTTCACACTTGAGTTCGTTTGTATGCACTAAAACAGATTATACATTTTATTCCTCGAGCCCTACAGCACTGCCTATGTGTCACGCCGTCTGATACTCAGTGAAGTTATGACTGATCTCAATCTCAAAGTGCATGGTACCGGTTATGACTGCAGCCTGGAAGCCTTGGATATGAAAACTGCCTGGACGAAAGTTGATCCACCCAACAGAAATAAGCCGGGCACCAAGATACCTACCGTCCCCACAAGCAACTTTTTTTTCGATTAGTACCCCACAAGCCGAATTTTTCACTTTTTAGCCATTTTTCAAAAGTATCTCACAAATATACCCCTGGAGGTATGATTTCAAAATCTAGACCCTTAGCTCGCCAAGCTAACATGGCAAGGTGCCGGTACCTTTGGCGTGAAGCCCCTTGTACACGTGGACAACACCTGCTGATCTGGCAGAGGGATTGGCGCCAAGATACATGGCGCCAAGCTAGGTATTTTAGCCCCACGCCCAGCCTTGCTGCCCGAGCCTTTTCCCCTTCTTTCTTCTCCCTCTCGGGTTCTTGCTCTCCCCGCTTCGCCCTACCTCACGAATCGTCATATTAGAGCTTGAAAACTTTGATTTGTTCCGTGGATCTCCGAGAGCAAGGTATCCTCGCTCCCTCTTTGTATTTTTTCACATCGATTCGGTATATATCAGTCATTTTTTTCAACTTAATAATCGTCATTACTTAGGGTTTCTTGCATTTTTAAAATTTATATTATACAACCTTAGGATGCCAAGGCGTGGAAAAGCTAGCAAACCAAAGCAACGTTATTATGTTATGGGTACGTTGTTGTGGATCAAATGGGAAACCCTAGGTGTAGGGTTTGCTGTTAATTGCTTTCGATTCTTAGAATGAAAATGGCTACATTGTAGTTATGGTCGGATGACCGGAAATTCGTTCGACCCATTGCCTCTGCCCAGTGGTGTTCCAGTGCCCATGTGCTTTTGTGGCGATCCTTGCAAGGTGGACAAGTCCGATGAAGAGGATACGTATAGGCAGAGGTATTGGATGTGTTCCAATTTTGCGTTTGAGCCTACACTTCGTCAGCACCGCATTAACAAGATGGTGAGGAAATGATTGCATGTTATGTTTATGTTTTGTAATATGACATCTTGTATGATTTTCTTATTTTGTAACAATTGCATTGGTTGCAGACCCCTCCACCGCTCTGTGATTTTGAGCAGTGGATCAACACTGAAATCAAGCCTGAAGACAAGGAATGGATGCAGAAACTGTTGCGGTGGGAGGCTGAGGACAAGGAGATGATGGAGAAGAGACGCAGAGAGGCGGCTGCAGAAAAGGAGCACAAGGAAGAGGAGGAAATGAGGCGTGTTGCTGCGTTTAGGGAGGATAAGGAGAAGAAGTTTGAGCGTGGACGCCGAGCTAAAGCAGCGATGGAGGAGAATCCCGATGCCCTGAGGAAGGGAAAGTGGCCTCGTTGCACTCAGTAGTTCTTAGATTTCGTAGTTGTATGGTTTATTACTGAACAATGTTGTCCAGTAGTATAGTTTTCATTGTGTAGTCTTGTATTGCATTTGAAGTAATGATGGACTGTACCCTTTTACTGAACTTATTAGTTTGTTGTTGTGTACTTAAATTTGCACTGTCTTTACCATTGTAGCCTTTTCAGTGCCATTAAATTCCAACAGTACTAGCTTTTACAATGGCATTAATTTGCAACAGAACTAGCCTTTTCAGTGGCATTAATTTCCAATTGTATTAGCCTTTTCGGATGAAATGACTGAATATAGTTGTAGGCTTTTCAGTTCTAGCATCTAGGTTTTTCAGTAGCTTTTTTAGATTCAATAAATGCACTTTGTAGACTTAAGTACTTATATTTTACAGTTGTTTTGCTTGGTACAATTATTGGTGAACCTGGCTTCGGTTATATATGTGTAGTGCTCCTTCTTTTGCTCCATACCCTCAATACAAGTGTTCTAGTTTCTTTGGAGTTGCAATGTCTGGTGGAGGCTCCTCTAGCGGAAAGTGTGTAGGCAAAGGGAGAGGAAAGGGGGGGAGCAAGGGACCTCCCATTATGTGGGATGGTTCTCTTGGTCCAGACTTCTTTGATGAGCCATTAGATAAGTTTCCTTTGGAGAGCAAGAGTGATTTCACCAACGAGGCACCTCTTAGAGGTTATGATAACCGGAAAGAAGACTGGCTAAAATGCCGCCATGATCAGTATTGCTTA